AGGACAAAACTTATACCTCAGAGCTGATTATTCGAGGTTACAAGGAGTGTGTATTCTTATTTACCTTTTTTCATCTTAAGCGTTTATGAAATAGATTTTTGGAAGATGAACATTCGTTAAGAGCAACATGTATGCCTGAGGGCCGATTGTTTAGGGTATCGTGTTTAATTCAAAAAGAAATTTGATAACAGTTAACCATTTTAAATATGCTTTTGATTTTGAATTAACGGATAGGGAAAAATAAACACTTGGCGTTGGATCGAGGTTTTAATTTATTAAAAATATTTTGTTGATCCTATATTATTAAAAACAATATTTCAATTCAAAAAATAAACGAAAATAATAATAATAATAATAATAATAATAAACCAAAATAGAAATGGCTTAAGGGGGTGTAGGATATGATAAGGAATTATGGTAATAGTAAAAACAAAGCAAAAAAGGGGGCCCAAGGCCCAACTAATTAAAGAATAAACAAATAAAAAACCGAATTTATTATCATGAAACTTTTCATATCTCTCTCTCATGAAACTTAAAAGCAGGAACATGTACAAATATAAAAAGTAAAAATAAAAACATTCGTAAGTAATATGTATTGTAGAGAATGTATCATTTATACCTTTATCAAATTTATTATAAATTAAAAACTCATTTCTATACATTTTAGTGGTCATTCATTTAAGAAAAGGTTAAATTTTAAGATAATTTGTATTCTAAAAAAGTTACTTTTTCAGTCAAATATAGTGAAAAAGTATTTCTCTTTCACTTTCCATCCATTTTTTTTTTAATAAGTTGGGCCTAAACCCAAAAATCCAATAAATGAAAAAGATAAATAGGTACAAAAAAAAAGGAGGCGAAAAGCCAAAACCTCAAACCTATCTGATTCTAAAATTAGGTAAACTTAACCGGTTTCTACAAAAGTCTGGTTCTATATCCCGATGAACATCATTCCACCAAGTAAAGTTAGAGATATTTAAACCTATGTTAGCCAATTTATCGGCACAGTGGTTACCTTCCCTGAAAACATGAGAAGCCAAAAAATTACAATTACCAAGGGTAGTCGTACAGTTGTCCCATCTATTCCTGATCTTCCAGGGCACAACAAATGGTTTACTGAACGCCATCACAACAAGAGATGAATCCGATTCTAGCCAAATATTTGTCCAACCTCGAACTAAAGCATGCTCAATAGCCAAAATAGCTCCCATCAGCTCAGCAAACAGTGATTTAACAAAGCCTAAATTACAAGCAAAACTTTCAATGTGATTCCCGGAGTGATCTCTAAAGATCCCCCCCACAAGCCGCGTTTATTGGATCACCGCCGGATGCTCCATCAATGTTGACTTTAATCCAACCATATGGGGGAGGATTCCAAATGACTTCGACACATATCTTGGGATTAACCGGATTAATGGAAATAGAAAACTTTTTCAGAACTTGAAAATCCCTAATGTCCATTGAAGATGCTCCTTTGAAAGAATTTCCAGCCAGCTGGGAAGTAGCATAAATAGATGAACATGTAGTTCTCCAAGGAATTAACCTGTTTTGAAACCGAGCATAATTTCGAGCCCGCCAAATGCCATTAACCACAGCAATAATCGAAGCACGGTACACCACCATACATTGCGCAGCACCAGCTTTATGCATTGCAATGAAACAATCCTGCATATCTGAAAAGCTAAAATTAACATTAAGCATATCGCGCAGCCAATTCCAGATCCTCCGAGAATACTCACATTGAAAAAAAAAGGTGATTGATATTTTCATCTGTATGTAAACAAAGGTTGCAAATAGAAAGGTCTGCCATACCGCAATGCCGGAGAACGTCATTCGTAGGAACACGATTCTTCATAACTCTCCAAAAGAGAATAGAATGAGAAGGAGGGATGTTTGAGTGCCAAATTAAATTGCCCCAAACACAAGCATTTCAGCTATGCTTGCAGTAAGAATACGCATCCTTGACAGTGATATCGCCGCTGTCAGACCTGGACCAAGCGAGCCAATCGTCCTTCAAACAATTGACATAAATATTTTCCACCATCCGTGGCAGCTTAGGACAAATACGGATCAGCCCCGGTGGCAAGTGAAATGAATTGCCGCTTAAAATGGAGCTCAGATCAGCCTTCAGCAGCGCCAGCTGAGCATCCGAAAGATGGAGCGATGAACTCAAGGGACTGCCACACCAGTTATCACGCCATAAATTAATTTTATTGCCCTTTCCAATCATCCACATAGAATTCTGCAATAAGTCTTCTAAAAACTCAGCACAACCTGTCCAAACAAACAAGAAAACGTGTGATTTACGCACCGAGCCTTTCCTTAAAACTCTAGCTTTTACAATCGAAGCCCAAGTGTCAATCTCATTCAAAATACACCAACACTGAACCAAACGATTTGCTTTGTTAAGAACACAAAGAGAGTGAATACCCAACCCTCCATCCTTACGATCCTGACAACAAACTTTCCAAGCCATCGTAGCCATCTTTCTTTGATTAATATCACCACTCCATATAAAGTTCCGACACCAAGATTCAATTTGAGTGATCAAACTAACCGGCTAAGAGTAAATGCGGAAAGAATATAGCAACATACTATGAATCATCGAGTTTACTAGTTGAACTCTTCCAGCTATAGATAGTAAACTAGCTTTCCAAGCAGCTAATTTAACGCGAATTTTATCTGCAACCGGTTGAAAAAAAGAAGCTTTGGGTCTGCCCTTGAAGATGGGGACCCCAAGATAAAGGAAAGGAAGAACACCCAATTTAAAACCAAGTCTACTAGCCAAGAATTCATGTCTCGCCGCAGCCATAGAACCGACATAAATAAAGGATTTGGCTGGATTATAGACCTGCTCAGAACACAAAGCGTGTCGATCAATCAGCTCCACAATGGCTTCCAACAAAGAAGAAATACCTTGAGAGAAAAGCAAGATGTCATCAGCGTAAAGAGTATGCGAAGGGAACACCATATTCCTACAAGCTTTGATACATTTCAGCCTATTCGTATCAACCAAATGAGTTAACCCTCGACTCAGAACATCCTCTGCAAGATAGAAAAGAAGAGGCGACAGTGGATCGCCTTGCCTAACCCCCCTCTTGCAACCAAAAAAACCTCTAAGGTCTCCATTAAAAGCCACCGAAATCTTGGCCGATTCCAACACCAACTTAATCCAAGAACAGAATGTGTCATTGAACCCGAACTGCTTAAGAACTTTTAACAGAAAATTCCAATTAAGGGTATCAAATGCCTTGGCAATGTCAATCTTGAGCATAACGTTACCGCGGAGAGACTTTTTGTGAATCACATTAGCCACCTCAGAAGCAAGACAAATGCAATCCTTTATGCTGCGCCCATTAATAAACCTCCGCTGCTCTTTGGAAATCAGATGAGGAAGCACTTTAGCGAGCCTATCCGCAAGAACTTTGGAGATGATTTTAAATTTGAAATTTGCCATAGAAATAGGTCTGAATTTGTCAATACTATCAGTCTCCTTTACTTTCGGAATCAATACCAAAGTGTTGGAATTATAATTAGGAGCCAACCACCTATCCTTAAAAAACTGAAGTGTAGCCTTGATAACATCATCTTTAATTATGCCCCAAAACGATCGATAGAAAATAGGACCAAAGCCGTCAGGCCCAGCAGCACTATCCCTATTTAAATTGAAAACGGCACTGCGAATTTCTTCAGCGGAAGGGAGAGACGTAGCAATGAATTAATTTGATCAGTCACTAAATTCGGAATAACTTCATCTACCAGCGAATTGTCCTGTAAAATAGAAGAATTGTCAAATAAATTCACAAAGTGAGAAACTACATGGTCTGCGATCAGATTTTGATTGTTGGTGGCGACCCCATCAATTTTCATAGTGTGAATGAGATTTGATGAGTTTCTGATTTTAGTGATCCTGTGAAAATATTTCGTGTTCCGGTCCCCGTGTAATTGCCAATTAACACGAGCTTTATCTTTCCAAAAGAGCTCCTCAATATTAAGAACCTATTCCAGCCGAGCTTGCGCCACTTTCTCTTGTTGAGCCAGAACATCAGTATGGCCATCTGTGTCAATTTGATGCTGAATACTATCAAGATCTAACTCAGCCTTCTTGACATTGTCTTGCACATTTCTAAAACATTCTTTGTTCCACACCTTAAGCTTCTCCTTGAGAAATTTTAACTTTGCTGCCAGAACGAACATCGGACAACCAACATAAGTAGTTTTTCAAGCATCTTCCACCACTTTAATGCAGTCAGGATGCGATGTCCACATTTGAAAAAAACAAAAGTGAGATTTGAACTTGAACTCTTGAAAGTTAAAGTGTAATAAAATGGGGTAATGATCAGATCGGGATTTGTTAAGAGTGGAGCAGGAAGATTGAGCACACAAACTAACCCAATCCTGATTGCAAATAACTCGATCCAGCCGTTTACGAGTATGCTGCCTACCCTCTCTAGCATTAGCCCAAGTAAACTTAACACCAACAGTAGGCATATGGACCAAATGATTGAAATCTGTCCAGTCAACAAACTCCTCCATCGGGCCTCTTGCAGGCCTAAAAGAACCATCATACTCGTGAGCACCAAGTATAGTGTTGAAATCACCTATGAAGCACCAAGGAATTTGATAAGTGTGAAGAATATTCTGCAGAGAACTCCACAAACTTCTGCGTGTTATGTAGCTGGTAGATGCATAAATGGCCGAGATACCAATAGAAATGCCATTAACCAACACAGTAAAAGATACCTGTTGGTCATCTATATGAATCACGATTGGATTGATGTTAGAATCACATAAACACCAAAGGTTTGGAAGCAAAGATTCCCTACTATTTACAGCGAAGAACTTGAGATTTAAACTACGAAGCCAAGACATTGAGAAGTTATCTTTATCCATCCACGGTTCCGCGATAAAAACGAATTGAGGTTTGTAATTCAAAACTAACCTTTTTAGCGCCATTTTTGTTGGAGAGTTGGCTAGGCCTCTCGCATTCCAAAATAAACAATTCATGGGGTATTAGACGCACTACCAGACCTAGACCTTGTCTTGTAATTACCTCTCGAAACATTGTTTTTCTGCATCTTTCTCTTGGATTTAGACTTCACTTTCACAAAGCCGTCGTCGTCTACCCCCAAGGGGTTCAAAACGTTATTCCAAGAAGCGTTGAGAAACATCAGATCCTGTTGTAGCTCTGGATTAGTTTCAGGGACTTCTTCAACTGAATTCCTTTGTGTATTGCCAATACATTCTGCATCTACAAAATTGTTTTCCTCCTCACTGACCAAAGCCAAGGTTTTATCTATGTCATCTGCCACAACTACTTCATCCACTGTATTAACAACTTCCAGAATACCCGAAGGACCACCAATGTTCACTTGGTTCTGATTGTCTTTGTCATGACTATTCTCTACTGCAGTATGAATCTGAGACAGATCTACCGACTTAATAATGGTCGGATTATTAATAGGAACCTGAACAAAGTTGTGTTTCTTAGAGTTATTTGGCTTACCAGCATCTGCTTCGTCTACTACTTTTTGTTTCTGTGCACCAGATTCTCCTTCGTCTCCACGATGTTTACATTTTTCCAAAGAGTGACCAATACTATTGCAGTGTTTACAAAACTCCGGAAGGTTTTCGTATTCGAGATCAACAAAGAACGCAAAACCTGATCTTTCAACTAAAACTTTATAACGAATATCAGAGTTCAAATCCAAATCCACTAAGACTCTAACAAAGTGGCCAAACGATCTTTCAAAACAACACCTATTAGATGCAGAATCAGTACACAGTGGAATCCCCACACTACTTGCAATTGCAAAGATGATTTTCGGCCTCCAGTACTCCTGCGACAAACCATGGATGCGAATCCACACTTGAGCTGACGATTGCTTAAGGATGGAAGGGTTAAAGTCCTTTGTCCATGGGGACAACTTAAGGAAACCTAGGTTTAAGTTCCATGATGAAATGGACCTTACACGCCTGACATCTTCAAGAGTGGAAAACGAGAATTCGTAATACCCTTTACCAAGGGAGGTAATGCCCCATTTCCCAATAGATTTCCAAAGATTCAAAAGTTTAGTTTTGAGGTTTTGAACTGTCAAAGGTGTGGATCCCTTAGGCCAGATAATCCTACCGTGTAGGTTATGTTTGCAAGACTCCACACCCAGCAGATACTCCTCCTCCGGAATAACAATGGACAAGCGGCCCCCTTTAACACAAGGCTTTGGTAGCTGACTTACCGGAATATCGCAGACGTTATTCACCGCATCAGCAAACAATTTAGGAGGTTTGGATGAGGATGCCATCAACTCTACGTGCGCTTTCAGCTTCACACCTGAACATTCTTCTTCCAGATCTAAAAACTTCCACAGAACAATTGGTTCCCTCATCATGAAATCGTTCTCATCAACATTCACAAAGTAGTCCTCTTATTGGAGAAGAAGACGACGGTGGCTCGGTCGAAAAAAACCAGGGTTACGACTAACTTTCTCACACTGTCGAGTAGTGAACTTTATCTTTCTTATGATGGAATTAGAATCAAGTTTCATATCATCCATCCATCTTTTGTTTGTGATTCAATATTTTTTCTGCATTTTCTTTTGGTGTATTTCTTATATACGTTAGACATACATTCATTTAAATTGATTTTCTTTTGATTAATTTTTTAAATACGTTAAACATACATTTCTTACCATTCATGTATTTTTTCAATATATATTTAATATGAAAATTATGATTAAAGTTTATTTATTACGAAGGCAATATTTAAAATGAATATTTAATTATTCCTGAATTTTGTTATCTTACTTTTATCAAAATTATCGTGAATGTTATTTATTCACCTTATCAGAAATCTTTCTTGTTGTCAATGACTAGATAATATTCCTTCTTTTTAAAGAGTCATTAATTTATTTAAAATATTTATATAAATATATAAATATGGAAATACCAGATTTTTTAATGTAATAAAATGCTTTTAAAATTCAGCCTCAATGTAAATACTAAAATATAAAAAAATATAATATAATTATTTTGAATTAAAACATCTTAACACTAAATGCTTACAATAATGTATTTTTGTATAAATTTCAAAAAAATTTAGTAGTATTAAAAAACCCATAAATATTCTACATAAATTATCTACATTTAATTTTGAATATATATTCAAAAAAATCTATAAATTCAAAAAAATTTAGTAAAACTATAAAATTTATAAAACTATCTCCCAAACTCTGAACCACTTGGAAAATACCATTTTGAATATATATTCTCTGAAGTGCTCCTATTCTTCTAAGATGTTCTAGGGAACTTAGAAGTTGAATACTTCTGCACTATTTCACATCTAGATTTTATGTCATACATGCAACAAAAACGTCCTTCCACCTTCACTGTATGAAAATACTTATGATACATATTTCATACCAGGGGTCAATCTCGTTCTACTAGAAGATTTTCATGTTTCTCGAAACTCCAACAAATTCATTCGATAGAATTGTTAAATTCCCGGCTCCATTAGAGCGATTGCTTGAACTATACACCGCCCTCCAACCTCATATTACTTCTATTAAGACTTCAACAAAGTCAACTGGTTCTCCTTACTTTCAAACTCTTTACTTGAGCCTACTCTCAAAGTACAAGGTCTACCAAACTTTTGAGTCCTAGTGGTCGCTCAACCAATATCCTACCTACCACGCACATAGAATTGGGCTGATGAGTTCCAATACTACATCCAGTGATTTTAGGAATCATGTTACCTAAACACACATATGATGCATGAATAGATTTACATATGATGTTTCAAGACTAAGTCGAGAACCAACCTGCTCTGATACCAATTGTAACAACCCGCATAATATATATAGAATAATATCATACAAGTATTAATTTTTGGTACTGATACAACACGTTTCTAACGACATCATTATATACACATGTTCAAACAAAAAAGAAACATCTATGGCACATGTTATACAATATTGTCTAAATTAAAACTATAAGATATATGCAATATATTCATTGCACACAATTCACGGTAGAAGATCACACTAATTAGAATCATTTGAAACATCAATGGACAACTTGTTTTGCATATAACCTACAAACAACACCTGAAAAACAACAATAATATTAAGGCGAGATGATAATCTCAGTGAGTTCCCTATCTTATGTAGAGAAATCTTTAACGTTTTTTGATAAAAAAAGATTTTGTTTAGAAATATGAAATAGTGCTTATTATTAATATATTTTTAATTTTTAAAATTTTTTATAACAACAAAAAATTGTATTTGAACAATTTGTCTAAGCCCTTCAAAATCCTCCTTCAATACAAATTTTGAGTTTCTCCAAATTATAAAATTTTTAGTGTAATGAATAAAAACAAATTATCACAATCAAAATATTTTCTTTTCACTCAATTTTTAAAAGCCCTCCTCTCCAATCTTATCAGTTCAAACTCTCAAATATAACCTTCGTGATTTATTATATACTTTGAACATACATCCATTGAACTTGATTTTTCTATCTTCAGTTTGATTTAATTGAAGGGTATATAACAATAAAAGTATTAAAATATTTCTAAAAGATAAATAATTAAATATAAAAAATAAAAAAAAATAAAAAAAAATAAAAAAACTACAGCATTTCGTGCTTATCGATCATGTATTTTTTCTCGAAAAAAATTCATTAGCAACAAACTCGAAAGAATACTCAAGTGAAGCAAAAATGTGAACAAATATTTATAAGTCTGTTACTAGGGCTAACAATGAACCAAACCAACTCGAAAATAGTTCGGAATTTGATTTGATAATTAAATCGTTGAACTAGGTTTATGAACCAAATGAGTTGAGTATGAGCGAAAAATTAAGTTCGTTAGCTAAATGAGTTGAACTTGAATTATACATAGTTCGACTCGTTAGATTCATGAGTCAACTCGATTACATATGAGAAGAGTTATACTATCTTTAAGATTAGGTTTAAATATTTACTCTAAATCTTAAACAAATTTAATCTTCAATTTAGTAGTTTTTGAATTAGACTCTCAAATGTATCTTTTGAAAGTTGTGTAGGTTTTGAATTAGTAGATTTCGAAGATAAAGTTAAATTTCAATATGATAACTTTTATTTAATTTTAATATTTTATTAAAAAAAATTATATTTATTGAAAATGTCAAATATACTAAAATATATATATATATTTAAAAAAATAGTTTTTAAGTCCGTGAATCATGTGAGCTGAACCTACTGAGATGAACATAACGAGTTGAACCGAACTATTCGTGAACTTATAACGAATCGAGTTTGAGTTTAAAAAAAATTCGTGTCGAACTCAAACTCGAACCAATTCTTAACGAGTCGAACCGAGTTGAGATTAATTCGACTCAACTTGACTTATTTCTAACCATACTAGTAACATAAAGTAAATTAAAACTCCTATCCCTATACTTATTTGTGAGAACAAATATCAATATAATATGTAGATCTATAAATTAGGATTCACTAGAATAAGACATGTGGGATGCGAGATTATAAATGTATATTATAATAAATTTATATTATAATAATTTATTATGAATTATAATTAAAATAATGATATGAATTGATCACATATAAAAAGATATATTTTATTTGAAAGAAAAATAAGTGTAGTCAATTGGGATTGACATCCGTAACTATTATTGTAAATGTAAATAATTATAAAATCATTTTTGCTTTGTTTTGATTCACATTTCTTTTTAAGTAGTTATCTTTGATTTAAATATTTAACTTTAAGTTGTAAAGACATGTATTTATCCTCAATATTAAATAAAACTAAAAATTTATTTTTAATTAATATCAAATAAATTTTATTAATATCTTAATTGTTTATTTAAATAATTATTTTAATTTTATTAAAGTTATTGTAAAATAGGTGTGCTCTTTATATAGACATTATTATCAATATTTTAATTATACTTTCTGTGATCACTATTATAAATAAATAAATAAAAGAGTAAATATAACTCACTTTGATAATATATATTTATGAAAATAATATATTTGTCTAAAATAGTAATTAATTGTTAGGTTAATATATTTTTGACTATAATTGCTTTTGTTGGTGATTTTAGTCTCATCAATGGATTTTAGTAGTAATGAGATTTATTATAGGCCAATGCAATTGTGCGTTAAGCTTGGAAACGAGTTGGGGTAGTGCGGAGTGCACGCTCATCAAGCCAACATATAATTGAATACGAATAATTGAAACGGGGTTCCAAGGGACGGAGCCCCTGGCGGGGTGCGGGGCAGCGCCCCGAGCGAAAATTTTGAATAAATTTCAATCCCAATTCTCCCAACGTTCAGAAATATTTCTGAATAGTTGTGCCGTTTCAATTACTATTATTGATCTCCTATAAAATGAGTCAATTGGCCTCGTTTTTCACACACAGAAAAACAATACCTTTCTTTTCTTTACATTCTTGATCTGTTCTCCATTGCCGGATACAGATTGTTCTTCGTGAATTATCCCCGCAAAGATTTCGTGAACCCAGGCAATATATAGGGTCGAAATACTTTGTTCGGAAAGTGTTTCGGACGCGATTCATCGAAGATATCCAAAATTATCATACCAATTTCTAACAAACGAACAAAGTATTTATTCTGATAATCATGGTTGGAAACACCGTCAAGGAGATGACCATAAATTTCGGAAAATTGGACAAGTTTCAAGGACAAGACTTCAGGCGCTGGCAGAAGAAGATGCATTTCATGTTGACAACGTTGAAGGTGGTGCACATCCTGTTTACACCGATTCCAGAAATTCTGGAAGATGACACGGTTGAAAATCTGAGACGCAAATCAAAATGGGAGAACGACGACTACATATGCAGAGGGCACATTCTTAACGGTATGTCTGATCCCTTATTTGATATTTACCAAAACGTGGAATCTGCAAAGGAATTGTGGGCCGAATTGTCTCGAATTCAAGTACATGGCAGAGGACTCATCCAGTAAAAAGTTTCTGGTAACCGATTTCAACAATTACAAAATGGTTGAATCAAGGTCTATCATGGAACAATTTAATGAACTCCTCTGAATCCTTGGACAGTTCACATTGCACGGATTAAAGATGGATGAAACAATATATGTCTCAAGCATCATAGACAAGTTGCCTCCTTCGTGGAAGGATTTCACACACAACCTGAAGCATGGAAAAGACGAAATGTCTTTGATCCAACTTGGAAGTCACTTGCGCATAGAAGAATCTCTAAGAGCGCTGGAAAATGACAAAGGAAAGGGCAAAGAAATTGCTGGACCCTCGGTTAATATGGTCGAAGAGGGTGGTAAGAACGATAACAACAAAAACAAAGGAAAGAAGCATGTTTTCAAGAACAAAAAGGGCATTTTCGGTGCT